CACTTATGCCTAGGCTATAAAGCACTAGATTTTTGGGTTAATTGCAAATCTGGGCTAGCATCAACAGATTACATTTTTTTGTGTATATTAGGCTCAAGTACATGGAGGCCTTCACAGCTGGTCAAGAGTGCACAGCAGTGTTGATTTGTGTTTGTTGGTAGTGCTGGGAGTGGTTGGAATTAAACATGAGAGGTATCAAGGTTACAGGCAAAGAAAAAAATACTGCTGAACAGAGACTGTTGCTTGGTGAGTCAAAAGCATCAAGGCCTTGTTTCTTGTGTTGGGTGACTTTTGTTCCGGAGAGTTCTGGACTGTTGAAAGATCAGCTAAGGAAAGGTGCTTTGATTAGGGTGACCTCAATATTATTTATGTTTTTTAAAATAAATAGATTAAAACAAATACCAGGTGCATTAGACAAGATGAAATGCATGTTCTTCTGTCCATTGCAATAACTTGTTAGTATGAAAAACAGTGTTTTGATGACCTGGATAGGCTAAATACAAYTTCATGATGAGCCAACAGCCATTAACAGGTTTTTGTTGGAGTGTATTTTTCACTTGTGGTTAAGCAGTCTCTTCCACAGCGTCATTGCTCATATCTTGTCTGTACACTGAGGTTCCCAGCACAGATCAGGGTTCTTTTGTACYAGGCATCACAAAAACAGGTGAGAGCAGTCAAGAGCTTCAGCTTCTTGTGTTTCTAGCCCACCTTTTCATGGTCCTGACAACCCCAGTCCTGTGCTGAGTTTTCTATTCATAGAATGGTTTGGAATGRAAGGGACCTTAAARATCATCTYATTCTAACCCCCCTGCCAGGGACACCCTGCACCAGACCAGCTTCCACCCTGGCTTTAAACACTTCCAGGGATGRGGCATCYACAACCTCTTTGGGCAGCCCATTCCAGGGCCTCATCACTCTCACAGTAAAGAATTTTTTCCTAATATCTAAACCTACCCCTCTTCAGCTTGAAGCCRTTACCCCTTGTCCTATCTACARGTCCTTGCAAAGTCCTTTTCCTGATTTGTAGCCCACTTTAGCTACTGGAAGGTGCTTTAAGGTCTCCTTGGAGCCTTCTCCAGGCTAAACCACCCCAACTCTCTCAGCCTGTAATACTGATAATAGTTGAAATCTTTGGGAAGAGAAGACATCTGTTGGAGAGAAGCTGATAGACTTCCCTGTTTGTTGGGGTGGGGTTAAGTGCATGGACCTGGTTCASTCACGTATTTAATGCTTCTTTGTGTCTGTGTTAGACCGTCAGGTAGTTCAGTGTGGGCGGCTGAGCAGGGGTTATTGCACCATTGCGAACAAATATTTCCAGACATTCAAAGTTAACTAAAAGGGTTCCAACTCTTCAATCCAAAATCCATCAAATCTTAATGGGGAAAAAAAAAAAAAAAGGTAGCTAGACAGTACTTTTGTGCAACTTTTCACCTTCTGTCTCGAATTAAAATATTTGGAGCTGTGGTGTCTGTTCTAAAATCCCTACCCCCACCAGTAATTTTGCTCATATGTTATCCATAAATCTTGTCTGTTTTAAATGTTCCAACTAATAGTTAGGCAAAAAATTAAGCATAATGCTATGATTATCAGAGTCCATTTTTTGGCAGCCTGGGTGATGTTTTTCTTAAATAAGCACTGCAGTTTATCCTGATTAGAGATATGAAGGAATTATTCCTCTTCTTGGCGTTTTTTCTTTTGTTGTTGTTTTTTKGGTTTTGTTTCTTAATATGAGGATTTAGGAGTTCTGCACTCGTTTTGCAGGAATATAATGTGTGATTTGGCTGGATCTTTGAAGTGGTAATATTATAAATCTCCCAATCACCATTGCCCAGTCTGTTTTAGCATTCATGTGCCTAATTTCTGTTTGTAATCTGATTACTGGCTTGAGCTGCTCCGGCTTGCAGCCTATTGCTATGCATTTACTGTACTCCCTGGGACGCGATAGCCTGACAGCTCCAGTCCTGTGCTATGAAAAATCTCTACACGATATTGCYAAGACAGGCCTAAGGGCTGTGGCTGCTTGAGAATTAGCTGCTATTGTAGTTTCTCTTTGCCGAATCCTTTGTTTTGTGCAACCATGTTCAGAAATCCTTGGATCTCCAGCTATTTGGGAAATGTTAAATTCTCTGAGGAGCAAGGTAAGAGTTCCAGGCAGATAAAGGAAAATGCAGTTTGTGTGTGTTTAATCTCTTGTATATATGTGTGCATGTGTAAATATTGTTTGACTGGCTCTCCTGCAGCTGCATTAGGCACTTTAGCAATCAGTATGCAGTTAGTCACCTAGGCTATTTTGTTATTTCCTAAAGGACACTTTTGAGAGATCCGATTAGATGGATCTTTTAATTAGCTTAGCATGCCACCGACTTAGGGCCTTTAAATATACTAAGTAACACTGGAAGGTTGCATCTACTTTTTCCTTTTAGATTCTGCATTTTAAATTTCCTGTATATTAAATTATGGTTAGTGGTTTTATCGGGTAGTTTGTACCTAAGAGGGAGGGGAACTTGACTGAACAAATGGTTAAACTTGTGAGCAAGTCTGATTTACACTTCAATAAATATACTTTTAATTTAAAATAAAAATATTTAAAATTGCTACAATATGATGTTTAGAATTCTTCAGTAAAAAAACAGAACAAAATGCTGTTGCARTTATTTTCCTTCTGTCTATTAAGTACTGTGAGGGTAGGTTTTTTTGTCTTTAAATTAACCATTGAATAAGACTCTGCTAAACTGATGTTTCTTTTGTGGCATATTTATTGTTTTAGATGCAGAGTTGTTTTACTTTTCCTCCTGTGTATTTAAGACTTCCATATTGTGGCAAGTTAGTTTTATTGGACTTTAATCCCCCCGCATGGTGTTTGATTTGAACAGGAGGAMATGCATAAAATATCAAAACCGTGTAATGGAATTTAATTATCTGCTAAGTTTTTCTGTGTTTGGGGTGTGGGGGAAGATTGGAGCTCRCCCCTGTGAAGCACAGCAGAGTTTTAAGATGATTTTGAGGCATTATAGATGTGGTATGTGTGAATGTTGCTGGGTGTGTTTAAGGGGTGGCAGCAGCCAAAGGGGCTGATGTGCCCCCTCAGCAGCYCTTCTCCCTCCCTGCTCCCAGRGAAGCAGTGCAGGCTGCTTTCTTCCGTTCTCACATTCCCTCCCCGCTTTTGGCCGGGCTAGGCAGAATTTCCCTGTGGTCTGCTTGTGGTTTTCATGGTGGACAGCTGTTCCAGCGCCAAAAATTCTAGGATGGGTTGTATCCTGTTAGAACAGCTATAAATCTAAGATGTGCCTGGTTCTGATTAGCTAAGCTGATACTGAGCTGGGCTTTGGAAGTTAGTGCAGAGTCTTCTCAAAGTAAATCTGGCCTTTTTAGAGGATCTGTATGGCTCAGAGTATTCTTTTTAATGTTGTAGTATAAAATATAATGGTTTATATACCATTCACTCTGTTTTCCTTATAATATTCTGTTTTGATCTAACAAGATGTTTCTGTGTAATCTGTGTGGGTTAATCTCCATTTAATGGAAAGAGAAAATGAATGTTAACAAAAACAGGAAAAAGTTGTCTATTAAAGTTGAAGAATGCTGTTAGCAAAGCTGCTTGAAATCTGCAYTGACTTTTGGCAGATGCCTAAAAATGCCTTTTTGCACATTTTAAGCTTCTTTATCAAGTGTTAAAATCATCTTTCTTTCTGTTACTTTTTTTTTACCTTTTTTCAATCTTTATACCTGTAGAGGTGGCAGAAGAAATTGAAGAGGATAAAAAGCTTTGAAGGGCATAGGTAAAATGTACATTCTCGAAATTAAGAGCCATATTGTCAGCTATAATAAGTTTCATTAAACCTTTTCTGCAAAAATACATTCTACCTGGACTTAAAACACTGTGCAAAAGGAAAAAAAAAAATTTTTGCAGTTAGATCTTCTTTGAATAGTTAAATCTGAGCTCTGAGGTAGTGTAAGAGGAGTAAAGCTGCATTTGAATTGTAAGTCTGGGTCTGTCTTTGAAAAATAAAATTATTGCCATATCAGAGACCAGCTGTTTATTAATTTAGGGTCTTGGGTAGTAGATTTAATACAGATGGGGATGGAAGGCAGTTTTTCATTGGGAGTAAGGCATCAGTAGCTCCATGTGTTTTGCACAGCAGTCACAGAGCAGGACCTGCTCCCTGGCTGGCAGTGCTCTGAGTTCTCCTGATTGCATCCCAGGAGATGGAGGGGGAGGGTGCTTGGAGCACTGCTCTCCCTTCCACTGGTCATCATTAAACCCTCTGGTGATGCACTTGATTGCAGAAATGGAAAAGTTTGGTCAGGGAGAGGGTGAGGAGATTGCCCATTGCTTGTTGTGGTTCACAGTTTTGGGAACCTGGAAGCTTTGCAGTGCMTGCTTTCTGAACATAAGGCTGCATCTGACACAGTTTTGCTCTCAGTGTAAACATGTTCCTCTGTGAAATGCATGTTGTAAGGCTATTCACAAAAAAATGGGAGCTTCCAAACAGTAGGCAATCTTCAGAAATATTTCTGTCATGGATGGTGTAATACTGTTCCAACAGATCCTCAGCTGGACAACTCTTGGCTTCTGCAGTGAATATGCAGTTTTTATAGCATTGCCAGGCTGCAGCCAAGAAGCCTCTTGCTGCTTGCAGCAATTCTCATTTGCAGAGTGCTTCATAAACATGTCCCCTGCCCATTTTACAAGTTGTCAAACAGTGAGTTTAAATGATCAGCCCAGGCTGCAATGCTACACCCCAAATATTATTAGAACATGGCATTTCCATGAAGTGTTGATGCTTTTGGMATGTCTTCTGTCAGTACTCATTTTTGCAAGGCTTTGGTTTATCACCAWCTTGGACATGGTGCTCCTTTGCCTAGAAAGAAGGCCTCTGCACAGTCTTTTGCAGGGGAAAAAGGCTGTGATTGGAAACTATAACCTAGTTTACCAAAAGTTCCCCATTTATTCCAGCATTCTCACAATTGTGTGGTTTTTTTTTTTTTCTCTTTCACAGATTTTGCCAAAGGAAACTCAATCAGATTTAAGCCTTCACGATTGATTCTAAGGAAGAGAGCATTAAGGTAAGGTCCGGGTTTTCTTGCTCAGTGAAGATGACTGGTTGGAGTAACTTCCCATCACTGTTTGAATCCACATTTATTCTTTAGTCAGGAAATGTGATTATTTGTCCTCTCACAGGACCAAGCTTTTGCTTAGAGCAGATGCTCTGAAGTGTTGAAAACACCAACTGCCTCTTAAATAATGTTAAAATTTATAGCTGACGTTGCTAAAGGAAAAGTCCCACAGTGCCCTGAGCCTCCTGCTGTTGCAGTGCCCCTTTTTCCTTGCATGGCATGGACAGAGTACAGACAATCAGTGTGAGCAGCCTGGAACACTTACCTGTCTGTAAAAGCAGGAGGCTGCAGTGGAGGAGTTAATTGCACATCCTTGCAGGGAGCAATCTGGGGCACAGAGAAAAGGGGGACACTGCAGAGGAATGGGCAGGTGGTGTTGCTTCTGTACAGGGCTGTGCTGCCTCCTTGTCTGCACTCTTAGGGCACAGCAGTGAGGAGATGCAATTAAACAGTTAAGCAAGATGACAGGTCACATTCCTTCTCTCTTCCCATCCTTTCTCCAGCTGCTTTTTGTTATTTTTTGTGCCTGCTGGCCTCATTCATAACAGCACAGAGAGGTCAGGAGATGGGGACAGACCCTTGCCCCAGCAGCCAGAGGTTCCATTGGCTCAGGAATTCACCTGCCACAGGTGCTGTAGGAGCACAGGCTCATGTTTGAAAGCTTCTTTCCAGTCAGTGCACCCTCCTACAGCTCACCTGGCTCCCTGCTGTGGTGTTTCTCAGGTCCTGCAGAGAGGTGCATATGTGTGCAGGACACGTTGTGCTGTGAAAGCAGCCAGGGGAAAGTGGCAGTGAAAGTAGTAGGGAAGGGCGTGAGTGTAAAATGGACCTTTTGCATGAGAGTCAGGGAAGGAAATGCTCCTGCAGGTAAAGGAAGAGAAAGTGAATACCAAGCACGCAGCTGGCAGGTGTACAAGTAGATTTTGTATTTCAATCATAAAACCTCAGTATAGGCCATAGCTTTAATTGGGATGGCAGGTCAGTGTTACCAGTGGCATTTGGATCAAACTTCTGGTTGCTTTTGGGCATGTAACTAGGTTAGTGGGACAGCTATTTAGAAACCGTATGCTGCTGCTGCAGCAGTTGAAGTTTTCAGCCTGGAATCCCTGATGTACAGAGTGCAGCTCACACTTATTTTGGAGGTTGCCAGAACAGTGTAACTACTGAGATTGTCAAGTACTCTGCTAATGCTACATTATACATTGTTTTTTAAAAAAAAAACTATTGACATTGTGAAACATTGTCGCCTGTCTTTTAGCAGGAATCATCTGGATTCCTGAACTTTGGAGAGTATAATGAGTTTTTTGGGAACCTGAGGCCAAGCCACAAACAAATCCTGTATGAAACAAACTGGTGGGGCTTCATGCTTTTGATTGCATTTCATGAACCATGATCACAGTCTATATTTCAGACAAGGAAAGGACAAGAACTTCCTCTTTCAGTGTCTAGATTTAACAGGGACTTTGAGAAAAATTTCTTGCAAACTTCTTTTTTTTTCATTTAGTTAGAGAAACCCATGTATTCCCTAATTATTTTAATAATAAGTGTGCATAGCCTAGCTCTTAAGTGCAGAAATTCATTGTGCTGCTGCAAACAATCTGCACCTAAATTTACAGCATGACTAGATGTAGTTGTGGTATTTCTAGAAGAGGGTTTTGGATGAGTTTGAAGGTACAATACAYTTGGCAATCCAAGTCTGTCTGACTCTGCTTAAGCAACTGAATTGATGCTTCGACTGCTCTTCCAACAGAGAAGCTAATAAAGCAGGGAAATGTCTGGATAAATCCCTTTGAGGAAAAAGGGATGTCTTGTTAGGGAATTACTTAMAAGTTTATTTTTTAAAAYRTTTAAAAGYGGTGATGAGTAGCCTCCTGATTTTTTTTTTCCTATTTGGAAGTGCTGTAACATCATTTCAACTCAATTTAGATTCCTAATGAATGTTCTTATTGAACACTGTGRCATGTCCTAAATATGCCTGCTTTCATTTTTAGAACTAATTTGATGTATGTGTCTATAAATACTCAATTGTTTGGCTTGACTCTGTCATCTTCAGAGCAGTGGTGTCTGAGTCCTCTGTGCATGGGAAAGCAATGTAATTACACATTGGATCAAAATACTTTGTTTTTCCCATGTCCAAATATTTAAAACAAGCAAGTCCACCTACAGCTTAGCAAAAGAGAGCAAAAAAAGCCTCTGAAGAGATAAAACTCTAGACTTTGGATAAAATAGTATATGAAAATGGTTACTCTTTTAAAAATAAGCAGTAAAGGTTGACAGTCTGTCCAGAAGGAAATGGAAAATGAGAGCATAAGGGAAACCATGAAGGAAATTTCACAAAGCAGATAACCTGTGATTCTGTGTAGTGCAGCGAGGGTTAAGCTTAGGAAGTTTGTGGTTATTTAAGGAATTTTAATGAAAACTGCCAGTGAGCAAAGGTTGCAAGCCACCCTCTGTACAAAGCAGGAGGGARCTCACATACAGGAAGAACTGGATGACCTTGAGGAGTAATAGAAAAAGGATGTAATGTAATAATACTAAGTGCACAGTTGGGCATTGGGGGCTGATAAATTTTTCTGTCACTTGCAGCTGATGAAAGCAAAGCCTTTGCATATTAAGTTTCTCATGCAGGATTGAGCAACCAATATAATGTATCTGTAAAAAGCCAAATGTGTTGTAGATCCCAGCATTCAGTGAGCTAGTCACATAATAATGCTTTCTCTATTAAAAATCCTATTTTCRTAAGATACTGATAATACTCAAATCTGGAATCAAGACTACCCAGTTCTGGTCACCATACACAAAAAAAAGATTCCTTAAGGCTGGAATAAGCAGAGATCATTTTAGCAGATGATCAATGAGATGCAGAGCCTGTCTTGAAGAAGCTGAGTACATATAGATAACCTCTSTTAAGAAAAATAAGTAAGGTAAATGACAACACTGGCAGGAGAACAAATGGATASAAACCCAGTGAAAGACATTTAAACAGGTTTAAAGGACCTGTGCCTTCAAAGTCCCTGGAACTCCCTGGGGGGAGGAGCAGGAGAATGTAACTAGTTTACAAGCAATCCAATAATACAGTTGTTTTTAGAACCAGCAGGCTGGTGCCAGTCCTGATTCCATGATTTTACCCTTGGAAATTTATGTAGGAATTAGGCATTATGGTGGTGTTTATGCMCAGTTAATTGAAACAAGGATTTTGCTGTTTGAGTGAAAGCTTTTCTGTACCAAGTCCCTTGTTTAAGGAGACTTAAGGTGCTGCACTGTCCCAGGCATTATGGAAGCAAGTGGAGATACTGCTAAATAAAGCCCAGGTATCCAAAAGTCATGAGCTGGATCCTTCAGCACTTTTATCTTAGGTAATTAAGTTCATTTGGCAGAATAGTTTGRGGTTGGTCTATAGCTTTAGGCCAATATTATTTGTGTTTTTCAAACTCATCCTCATCTAAAAGGAGTAGAAACTGCTTTCAAATGGGAACTGRGTGTCCCTCCATCCGTGGTTCTCCAGAAGGTGTGTCTATAAGAAAATAACATGTTGTGAGACAGTAGGAATTACAAGTGTTGGCAGTGTGGGATTAGGCACAGAGAAACACGTGGTTGGCTGTCTGAGGCTCTGCCCAGTCTCAGATGACACATGGATCCATTTGCTTGTGGCTGCTGTGTGCTATTTTTTCATTGTGTTTTGATCTTTGTTCAGTTCAATTACAGTGTGTTTGCCCTGTAAGGATACATAGTTCTCTCTAATGGACAGCTTATTGCAGCTCTTCATCTTCTATTTGCTATTTTTTGTAGTGGCTAACACTGCTTTTCTTGGCAGTACCTGGAATAATTTCTCTAAGTGCAGTTGTTGGAGACAATTTGCAGCAGGTGGCATTTTGCCTGGTTGTGGCACAGCCCAGTTTCTTCATTGTCATTTCAAGGGTTTTATTCTTCCCCTCAATATCTTAAAAAGGAATKTTATTTATAGACAATAAAGAAGCAAATACTTATGAAAAATGTTATTATTCAATATATGCTAAAACTCTTTCCGATGAGAATTGTTCTTTGGAAGTAGTGAGTACAGAATTCATACACTTGAGAAAAAAAAAAGCCATTTAAAGTCCGTCCTAAGGAAGGATTTTCCAACAGTAGGACTGTGTGGTTTTTCTTATSAGAATGATGTTAAATCAARTGACRCATCACAACAGTGACAAAATKAAGAACCTGGGAYCACTGTGAGGATTTGTATCTGCTAYRCCTGTCTACACAGTTTTTTAAAGGTTTTAGGACCATTGTAAGTTTTCTTAGGMCCAGCTGGGATAGTTTAGAAGTCATAATGGCAGAATACAGTACTCAGCTCTGTATTTTTAAAAATTGAAGACAAAAAGCCTTGCGTACAAGGAGGAACACCTCCTCCAAAAAAGTCTCTGTAAAGAGTTAATATTACTTTAGACCATGATGACATCTGCATTTTGCAGTTAAATTTTGTATATTTAATGARGATATTTAAAGAAATATTTTATTTCATCTAAATGGGCATTTTTCCTGTTTTGAAAAGACATGGTATAAAATTCATGGCCTGACACTCATATTAGCTTATTATAAACTGTGTRAGATCCAGAGAACAGTGCAGTAACRACAATAGGGTAGTCGTGCAGAAAGCTTTTAGGTGGCGTGTACATGCCGTACTGCATTTGATGACATATGTTTTAATATTTATGAAGAACCATTCAATATAGATTATTTTAAATGTAATTGCTTAGTTGAGCATTTTGAAGGCTGTCTCCAGTCAGTAATTTAATGCAAAAATGTGCCACTGTCAGTTCCAAACAAGTTTCAAATTATGTTAGGTTTGGCTTTCTGAGTTTCTTGGGGTATTTCTTAGCTCATTCTTATGGAAAATATTTACTTTGGTATCTCTGTTAAACTATCCTGCAGTAAATTGGTTGTGTCTTGGGTTTATTTGATTTGTAGCAGAGACACCCACAGTTCTGTAAAACAGATGTTGCTTTTAGTTTTCAGAAGGAGTTCTCGTTTGAAGATAAGGAAGAACTTGCGAACAGCACAAAGGATATTGATGCTAATCTCTTAGCAGTACTTCCAAAAGGTAGGTAAGGGAGACACTGCACGAACACAAGTGGTAATTTAACAGCAYGGGAAGTTTAGTCTACACAAGCACAAGGCACAGTTAAAATCACTTAGGCACAGATGTTTTGTAAATGAGTTTTCTTTTCCCTGTGAAGTATGCATGAAGGATGAAAGGGATGAACCACAACGCTCTTTTACATGGCCTTGCTGCATCCCTGCTTTATAAAGTTCAGCTTTGTTTGCCTGGTTTCAATATGTTAGTAGTTCAAAATCAAAATTCAGGAGTTTCTTTGTACAATTAGATTAATCCTGCATTCAAAAGTATTTACTTGACTTGTTAAAAGTCTTAACTCTTTCAAGACCCCCTTTGCTGGTTGGTAGAGTCACTGTTCTTGCATGACCGACTGCTCTTTAATTTTTGTCTTGCATGCTAAAGGGCTTGCAGTACAYATGGGGTTCAGTTTGGGGTGTTTTTTGTTCTAAACTTCTATCTTAGTCTGAATAACTTCTGAAAAAAACAGCAGTTCCATCTTTATCATTTGACACAGTTGAGGTAGAGGCAAGAATTCAATTCTCTTGAATTATTTAGAGAAAATCACAATGTGCTTGACCTGTAAAGGGTGACATTTGACTGAAGGACTATGTACAACTGGTACAAAGATGTTCCCTTCAGTCAAGGATGTTGTSGACCTCAGAACTTTGATTAAAATTGTGTCTGTGTATGTTCTGATGATTTCATTTTCAGACAAGCTACAAGGTTAAATTAACTAATCCCAAATGTGAAGGAACTGGCTTGCTCTTTTAATACTATTTGTTAAAGAGTTCCTCTAGAAAGAAGCACTTGTTCCAGTATAATATTTAAATGCTTGCTTTTAAATATAATCATTACAGATGTTCAGAAGGAGGCTTTGTTGGCAAATTGATGGAATAGAGTGATATGCATTTATACAATGCAGACTTTCTGAGAGCACCAGACAGTAATAATGCATTACTGTCCCTCATTATTCCTTACACTTAGCCTTACAATCAGGTGGCCAGCAAGTTAATTTGAGCCTTCACTTGAGAAACCTTATCTGTAAATCGCCTCTCGGTGAACTGATTTCTATTCCAGGATGTTTCTATTAAAAAAAAAAAAAAAATTCTCATAATAAAGGCATCGTATTTGGTGTGTACTGGACTTAAGAAACAGCAGTTGGAGCTTTTGGTTTCATTCTGAGGGCACTACTTGAAGTCAAGAGCTTTTTGAAAATCCAGGTTATTTGTCCTTTCTAGAGTCTAACTTTGATCCAGATTTGTATATGTTGAGAGATTGAAAGAATGTGTTTATTTTTCAACTGATACAGACTGAAATGAGGCCTGCAGTGAACTGCAGTGAACTGACTGAACATGTCAATACACCTTTGCTGGCATAAACAGAAGAGAAATGCTTCTCCAGCCTAGTTTTAAGGCCATCACATTTCCAGTTGTGGAGAGGAGGAAGTGGGAATGAGGCTGGTAGACTTTGCTATTGTGTTAAATTTTCCTCTAAATGAAAATGTATGTACCTGTGTTGCAATGGTTATTTTACCATCTCTGAGAAATTAATCCTCTGGTAGGGAACCTTTTCATCCATGTCTATCCAGGCTTCACAAATGTACATTCTCACTCCTTTAGTATGAACTTTTGGAAGGCTGGTTTGAGTTTTTACAGCTTCTGCACTGTGAAAAGAAAACTGCTGTCACATGGCTGCCACTTCATTCCCASGTCCCCTCTGCAGGGGCTTTCAGCATAAACACATTTATACTCTGTAGCAGGTTTCTGAAAGATTTCTAGGAGTATATATTTCTATAAGAAGTATAAGGAGTTTTATTAATTTAAGGGGTTTTTAAAAAATATATATGGCTGTTCTTTCTCTTGCCCTCAACTGACCAACAGTGCTTAATAAGTGTGTTGCCATGAAGTAATCTAGATAAGGAGCTTTTACTGTGAAATTAATTATTTTAAGCTTCTTAGTCTTTTCTTGTGTGCTGAGTGAGATCTTTGTGCTACCTTTTAGATAGAAGTGTTGCTGTTCTTTAGCAACATGGTGTTGTTTGTGATGGTCACATGGGAAAACATCCCGTGAACAGATGGGAAGTGGCACCAACATATTCAAATTGCAAGCTTAAAAAATGAGAAACCTGATCACCTAAGTTTGCAAGGGCCAGYCAGTATCCTTGGGAGTGAAATGTCTCCAACTGGTTTTCATGTATTGAAGTAAAATATTTAATTCATCAAAAAGAAACCACTAAAGTAGAATATTTCCAGCATTTTATCTTMTTTTGATTTTATTTTACTTGTGCTTCTTTTTCCCACCTCACCAAAAGAAGAATATTGCTGTAACTGCTTTCACAAAAAAACTGCAGAAGTTCAGACCTAGCTGAAATTACTTCTGTAATCTCAAGCTTGGAAAAAGTGTAAGGCAGCATAGAGTAGTCCCATGCTATTTTTGTCCCATGTTGTTTGGGAAGGTGTTGGAGACATTTTTCATGAGACCAGTGCTCTTTTTAGGTCTGYGAAGTGGTGGTAGACTCTCTGGAACTTCAGCTAGCATATAGCAAGAGGGTGTTGARCTAATGCTTTGGGAGTTCTTTGGATGTTCCACATTTGTTTTGTGTGGAAAAATTAAAGTCAAGTTTCCTTTTCTGGGGGTGGGGGGAAAGAAGACTTTTGCTAATAAACAAAGGTATGCTTTAGAGCTTTACTGAAGCTGTGTAAAAGACCTGTTCCCTGATGATGGTTTTGGTGACTGTATAAATAGGTGACTAGGGATGAAAAAGGATCARGATTTGGGTAGAATATGGTTTTACTGACTGTGAGCTCTGAGCCTTTGACTTTTCTGAAGACAGACAAGGATTTTGTTTTGACCATGTTGTGTACACACAGCCAACAGATGGAACAGAAAAACTGAAAAACAATAGTTGATGGAACATAATTAAACAGAAGCAGATTTGAGGAGGTGAGAGCAAAGTATTTATGAGAAACCATTTCCTTTGTTGTGGATCTGAAATGAAGGCTGSTTTCAGTTGKGTGAGTTCTTTGCTTAATACAGTTCCACTCCCAGTACAGCTYRAGTAGGCAGGGCTGCAGTGGAAACWGTTCAYGCATTGAGAGGAAAGTCTGTGAAAACACAACATCAGGGCTCATCTTTGCGTTGGTGTTGGTTCAGGATCAGAATGTGTTCATTCTTGCTGACCCTACACATTTTATCTGTTGTCCTACTTTCTGGCTTTTCAGCATGTGAGGTTGAAATGACAGTCARTGTCAATAGTATCTGTGAGGTGTGAGGGTTGGTATTGACTGCAGCAAACTTCCTGGATGAGTCAGCTGAGCTGGAACCCTGACCAAGCCATGTGTGAATGTTCTTGCAGGAGAGGGAAGGGAGAAAAGGTGCATCTGACCTTTAAAAGGGYGGTGTTTCAATAATGTTTATCTTCTAAGTATCTAGAGCAATGAAGTCTGGTATCAAGAAAAAAAAAAGCTGATATATTTACCTGTGCAGTGGAACAATGTCTACTAGACACTCCTGACTCATCAGGTGTTTCTGATGGCAATCTCTGGCCAATTTGGCAAGTGCAGACTTTGGCTTGCTTTAACTTTTGATCCCTGGGTCAATAGGGTTAGAACCCCAGAGGTGCATTGGCTCAGAATAGGCACACACAGCTTTCAGCACCACATGTTTGCCAAGGCAGCAGTACGGGGGGTTTGTGGATGTGCATGTCTGTGTGATAGGCACAYCCCCAGCCCAGCCCACTGCTCCCCTTGACAGCTTGGACTGTTTCTCTTCCTGCTGGTAAGAAGTCACTCCACACCTATTTGTGCAGTGCTCACTGCTCCACTGGTTTGCATGTGCACATGTGTGTGTGTAAAATTAGGGATTGCTTCATCCATCGTGCATCCTCTCAGCTCACTACTGCCTCATGGGCTGTGGCACTGGACACCAGCAGAGAGTGCAGGGGAAGGGACAGAAACTGTCCTGTTGAAACTGGAAGGGAAAGCTAGCAAAGTAGAAAGTGATTAACCATGCAGGAATATCATGATGGTGCACGGTAATTTTCACTTCAGCAGTGAGTCACTGGGATTCTTGGGATTTGATCAATATAAGGGTGTGAAGGAAAGTAAGGAATAGGGGTCACTGCTTCCCTTTTAACATAGTCAGTCCCTGACCTTTGAGCAGACATATATGCAGAATTTCCATACTGCTTGGCTTTGAAATGGGTTACTAGAGTATGTAAGCTTGACCTCAGCTAATCAAAATACAACTTGTCCTGGATATACTAGATCCTGAAAACTGCTAGGATGGATGGCATAGCAGATTTGAGATCATCCTGGAAAAACCTGGAGGGGAGGACTGCTTGGTGATCACACCTATGTGCCTAATGCACTTTTGACAACACAACCTTAATAAACTAGGAAAACAAGAGGAAAATGCTCATTTCCTGACAAAAGCTATTTCAAACCTCTGAACTTTATTTGACTGTTCCTTTTGATGCTAAAGCATTTTAACAAGTTTCTGTAACTTACTYTTTCATTAATTACATAATCTTTTGTTGTCTCAGTTTCAGAATTAAGAAAACTCTTTGAACCCAACAACCGAGATTTTTTGGAAATGAAAAGGTAAAAGGAAAAGATCTTTGGCCTGTAAAACAAAACACACAGCTTGTTTTGTTACCTCCTCATAGAAACTCTCCCCTCGAATCTTCAAGCTGCCTGTTTTCACATTTTTCACATATTTTTCAGAAAAGAAAGAATAGCTAGGCGCTTAGAGGGAATTGAAAATGATACACAACCTATGCTTCTACAAAACTGCCCAGGATCAGTCACACACCGTTTACTAGAGGAAGATACACCAAGATACATGCGTGCAACTGACCCATACAGTCCCCACTTAGGTAAGTAGCACCTGTCAGTCAGTCTGGCACTGCTGAATTGCTTCATGTTTGCCACACGATCAGTTACGCTGTGCCTGGAGAAGAATTCTACAGAATAACTCTGTCAGGTTGCTTCGTTTTTTAAAGTTTTCCTTTTAAGTCTGGAGTTGTCTTATTTGAAAAAGGTTGATTACCTTCATTGCTTTAAAATAACAATTTGATTTGAGAACTGTTACTTATTAAATGATTGTTACTAATACACTTTTCTTAATTGTTTCTATGTGCTTCTGGAGACAAAAATGCAAAAATATCATGTGTCTGTGCAGTCACTTTGATTTGTAAGAAAATGCGAACCTCTTAGTTCACTCAGTTTGAGTGGTGGGTGGAGGGCTTGGAGTTTTGGGAAGAACTTGCTCATAYATGTTGTGCTTTTGACAGGAAGATCAAATGAAGAGGAGGAAACTTCAGATTCTTCTGTAGAGAAACAGCCCCGGTCATCCAGATACCGGTCAGAAACCACAGGAGGTAATACAGAGCCCTTGTACAGTACAGCAAACATGGATGCCCAGGAACTAGAGTCAAAAGCAGAGAGAATAGCTAGGTACAAGGCCGAGAGGCGACGGCAGCTGGCAGAAAAGTATGGATTATCTCTTGATTCTGATTTGGATTCTGACTACTCATCCAGATATACGCGGGCAAGGAAAGATCCCGACAGCGTGGAAAGAAAGGGAGTGAAAAGTGAAAGGCAAAATGATGAAAACAAGGACTATGGCACCCTCTATTTGTCCAGGACTGAGGCAAAGGCATCAAAGAGCATGGTTTCTGATTCCAAAGAGTACTCCAGCCATGAAGATAAAGGTGACCTCTCAAATGAAAAGAGTTTTAGAAAAGCAGATGATGACAGTGCCATTAGACAGGCTTCTGACCCTTCAGCAACTTTGGATAGTTCTGTCTCCCTTTCAATTTCTGAACGAGAATCTTCCTGCTATAATGAAGTGCCAATATCACCAAAGCAAACCCCCCGAGAGTCCCTCTCTTCACCAAAGCGGGCAGCCTCACCGACCCACCTGCAGAATGACCAGCCCTTGCACAGTAACAGCAGACAAAGGTAAGCATGATTTGTATTTTTTGTTTTGCTGTAGATTGATTCCTTYATCTTAATCACCTCCTGCATCAGTATCTGCAGTATTCATGAGAATGTATTTATTACCCTTGAAGAATGTGTTTAGCTGCTTTGGATGTCTCAAGCTGGATTAGTTGGGCTTATTGTATCTCAGTGTGATTCTGATACAGGGAAGTGTCTATATATTTCTCTAATTAGCCATGTCCCTGGTTTCACTTTATATTTATAGAATTTTTGCTAAATTAGGCCCTTTGAGTGGAGAACAAAAAAATAGAAATTGAAGGAGTTATTGAAGGAGGTCCTAAATCTGCTTGGGTTTGGGTTTTTTTTTTTTGCTTTTTTTAATAACCTGTTAGAGCAAGTCTTTAACTTTTTCTCTTCTGTGTCTTGTAATTGTTTGCTGGGAGCTTCCAAGTAGAGGCAAGCTGTTTCTCAATGAAGAATGGAATATCTTTATGATGACTTCTGCCAAAATAAAATTGTTTTCAGACTTAAAAGCTGAAGAGTGTCTTGGGTCAGTTGAAATAATAGTTGATTTGTTTTCCTGATGTGAAAGTGTAAAAACCCTTTTGACCTATGATAGTCAATCTTTCAGATAATATCAGGCAGAAATGTGCATGGAGGGGCAGAGGAGAGAGTTGAAATTCYATGCTGGATTGCTTCAGATTTGACAAATTTGCTACAGTAAAATGGTAACCAGATTGTTCCAAAAGGGAAAAAAAATAGTGTTCATTAATTTTACATTATAATTTCACAATGTAGTGTAGAAATGCTTTTTAATTCTTATAGTGACTAAGGATTTTTTAAAAGTGTGGTTTTCTCGAAGTGTAGGTCTTTCATTTCTAGGTAGGTGGATAAATAGAAAATAATAACTGTAAAAACTTAAAATGTTGCAACTAAAAATGATGTAAATTAAAATGAGGACTTAATTTCAAGCTTACATGCATAATTCTGAGCAGTGTTGACTGTGTCTAAGAAACTGAGGTAACTGGTATAAACTCAACCATTTATGCTTTCCATTAAGCACAAGAGCTCTCAATCCCCAGATGTATGAAAGTGAGAAAATAAGGAAATACATCAATATGGCYTATTGAAGGGAAGAAGCAAAGTCCCTCCCACTGTAAGAAAAGATCRTGTTCATGAGTACCTGAGGAAACTAAACAAAAATAAATCTATGGGACCCAGTGAGATTTATCCCAGAGTCCTGAGGGAATTGGCTGATACATCTCCATGATATTTGAGCAGTCAGGTGAAGTCCCAAGTGAYTGGAAAAAGGGAAACATTGCACCCATCTTCAAAAAGGGTGGAAAGGAGGATGCTGGAAACTACTTTGTATGRTTGAGTGACATCACTGGGCAATGGAAAGGCTACAGATGTCTCTGTCTGTGCTCCTGCAAGGCCTTCTAGACTGTCCCCCTTTCTAGACATCCTTCTGTGTCAGTTGAAAGATATGGATAGACTGGTAGAGGAGGAATTGGTTGGACAGTTGCATCCAGAGAGTYGTGGTCAACAGCMCAGAGTCCTGMTGGACATCAGTGACARGTGGTGTCCYTTAAGGGTCCWTRTGGGGACCAGTGTGGTTTAATGTGTTCCTCAGTGACAGAAGGGGGTTGAGTGCACCTTCTGCAGCTTTGCAGATGTCACCAAGCCGAGTGGTGTGGTTGACATCCTGAAGGATGGGATAACATCCAAAGGGACATGGACAAGCTTGAGGAGTGGGCTCATGGGAGCCTCGTGAGGGGTTTGGTAAGGCCARGTGCCAAGTCCTGCACCAAGCCCCAGTACCAGTGCAGGCTGGGGGATGAAAGGATTGAGAGCAGCTCTGCCATGAATTTTGGGGAGCTGGTGTGTGAGGAACTGACATGAGCTGGCAATATACACCTGCAGCCCAGAAAGCCAAATGTGTCCTGGGCCACATCAAAAGGGTCATGGTCAGCAGGTCAAGAGAGGTGATTTTGCCCCTCTCTGCTCTCATGAGATCCCTCCTGGGATACTGCATCTCTAGCTCTGTACCCCTCAGCACAGCAAAGACATGGACCTGTTGCAGCAAATCCAGAGAAGAGTCACAAAAATAATCAGAGGGATGGAGCACCTCTCCTGTGAGGAAAGGCTGAGAGTTGGGGTTGTTCAGCTTGGAAAAGAGAAGGCTCCAGGGAGATCTGCTTTCAGCCTTTCAGTGCTGCAGAAGGTGATTGTAAGATTGGGACAGAGTTTTTAACAGGGACATTCCTCCTTTCCAACAGGACAAGGGGGAATGGTTTTAAACTAAAAGAGGGTAGATTATTAGTTATAAGGAAAAAATCTTTTACAAGAAGAATGGTAAAACACTGGCACAGGTTGTCCAGACAAGAGGTAGGTGTCCCATCCCTGGAAGCATTCAGGGTGATGTTGGATGGGACTCTGAGCAACCAGATCCAGTTGAAGATGTCCCTGCTCATTGCAGGGGCTTTGGACTAAATGGCCTTTCAAGGTCCCATCCAACTCAAACTATTCTGTGATTCTATGAACAAGTAATAATACAATTGCTGACTGCATTATCTCTAGTTTCAGATTCTTTCTGACTCTCTTTCTGATGAGTCTTGGGTCAGTATTTACATAAAACCTATTTCCTGTACTTGCTGTCTATCTTTTGCAAGGAAACCATCTGCACTCACCAAGATGGGGTGTACTTCTTAAAGCAGCCAAGAGTTTAAATTTAGGATTTGGTCTCTTGTTTCGATACACATGCAGGCASTAGGTGGTATTTTAAAGACCAAGTGACCAAGAGCCCATTCTTTAATACCTCTGACACCTTCAGTGATAGTGTCTACTCACTGATATGATATTCAGAGATGTAAAAATAACTTCTCTGTAACTTTTTCCCTGATTTTGAGTGGTGAAGAAGTCATGGTGTCCATGTAGTCTGTTTAAAGCTACTCTGTGGTAGTCTCCTATAAGGCTGTTTGCACAAGAGAAATAAAGGCTAACTCCAGGTGGCTGCTGTTCTGAAGTCAGTTCCACATTATACTGGCTATAAAATTGTTTTTGTTAAATTTAAATTTCCTGAGTTTAAATTGGAGAATAAATGCAGCTCGCTTTGGAATATATCTGGAAGCTATTGTGTACCTTCAGTTCAAAGAAGATTTAATAATTAATCCAGTTACCCATCGCTGAGAAGGTATCATTTGACATTTCCCTCATTTGGGTACTGAAATGGCTGATTAAACTCCAAACGTGGTTTACGTTCTTCTGATTGCACTCTTCAAAGGATGAATGATCAAGTACAAATAATTGCTGCTTGGGCCATGCCCACTATAAAAATGTGCCAAAGTACACATCAAGAGAGAAGGAAGTTCCCGTGCTTCAAAGCAATTCCAGTTAGCAGTTCCTAGTCAGCTTCTGTGAAAGGGCTTTGCCTCCTGTTTGGTCAGTTCTGTTAGGGATTCAAAAACATTTGGAAAAGCAGAAGATGTTCCAACAGTTGGTGTTTGTTGTTCTGAGATAGAGTTGGATTCAATGACAACAGTAGGTGAGTTCTCAAATTTAAACTTACTTGCATCAAATACACTGTTACCTTAAGAATAGTTGTTGATTTGACCTTTTCCAACTATTTTTATTGAAAGACTAGCTAAGAGAAATTGAAGTATATGACCTGGAGCTTAATTTGGGATTTTTATCCCCAATGGCTCTTCTGCAATGGAAAGAGTTCTTTCAGATGTAGCTATAAGTAATGTAAAGCATCCTGGAAGCTTGTGACCTGCAGGGAATGAGTTTAAGTGAGTTCATGTGGCAGGACAGCCTGCACTTGCAAGGTTAAAAGTATTTGGTGTGTTCTGCTGAGGGATTGTAGGTGAAGGTGAGCATTAGGAAAGTATTTGAGAAAATGTATGTGGGAAGTCTGCAAACACCCTTTCCTGTGCTCCAGGGCTATTAAAAGCTCTTTTTTTTTTTTTTTTTTTTTTTTTTTTTTGTTTGTTTTTTTTTTTTTGTTTTTAACTCCAAAATGTAAACAGAGTAAGGTCAAGGCGAGAATAAATAGAATAAATTAGGGATCACTTTTTTTTCCTTAAGTTTTTCCTTTGCTGAGTCACCCAATGACTCAGCGTGTTTTTATTTGTGCTAACCAGGTGGGCATTTCCTAAGCTTTGTGACACAGGGCTACAAGAGGAGAGAGGGGTTCCAGATGCTCCTGAGAATTTCTGAGGAAGTATGATGTAGCCATGTGAATTTTCCACTTAATTAAATTCTGTTACTACTTTGTTTTGGTCGTAGCTGGCTTTACTGCTTTAAATCGCAATTTAAAGGAATGGTTTCAAGAACTTTTACAGATGTCCCTACACAAACTGACCTGTGATGGCAAATGCAAAAATAAGGTTGTGTAATTGCTTTCACTTCTCAGTTTTTGGACAATGTACMCTTGGTAAGGTTATCTCTGCAGAATCTGTACCATTTAGAACACTTTGTACATGTTTGTGGGATTATRTAATAGTTTCTTTCACAGTTTCTTTATCACCTTTGAATTTGGCTAGCATGCATTGCTTTAGTTTTCTAGAACAATCCTCTGCAACTTAGTAATCAGAAATAAAAAGCAGTGGGGAGGGAAGATTGGGAGAAATAATGGGAGGTTATGTGTTGAGATCTCAGAAATTACCTGAAGTTCTGTTTTCTGTAGTAGTGCAGGGAAAGCAAAACCTGAATGGTTCCTTCAGAAAGATTCGGAAGGGGACACACCTTCACTTATCAGCTGGCCCTCCAGGTATCATAAAACAGCTGTGTGCCTAACAACCAGACTACAAACCTCCCCTCTTTCCCTCTACTGCCTTCATTTAACACTTGCCCTTGATTTTCCTTTAACAGCAGCAAGTAARAAAGTGTTGAAACTTTTTTTAAGCATCTGCTTTTATTCTAACTTACAACCAATTGGTATTTTGATGAAGCACAAATGCCCCAAGCTTCTTCCACAGCTACTGTCATTCTGGCTTCCAATAGATTTTATAATTTCTTATTGTATCTCACTTTGTGCTCTGCAAACCAGCATATTTTTGTACTGTACACCATTCCATCTTAGAATTCCCTACTGTTAACTTGTTGAATTTCAAAGGAGATGGTACAAGAGAAGTAAAAAAAATTATATGGAAAAGTAAAACAAGATCTTGGTCAGAGCTACAGGCGGACGCTTTCTCCTGGTTTGGTAACACATACAGTGAGCCCACCATGGAAAGCATTTCAGGAAGACCTTTTCCATGTTCCTGATTGAAGTAATTYTTATAACCCAGTACTAACATCAGTGTGGATGTTCTGGAGAATGTTTGGTACATGTAGTTCAAGGAATGCTTGTTCAGACTGACCACACTGTCTGTTCTTAAGTAACTTTGAGGAGTTTCCCTGATAAGTGCATCAATCTTCAAAGGTAAGAAGCACCAAAATGTTAGAAAGATTGGTGTTTCAGATGAATATGGATTTCCTGAATTACTCTCTCAGATAATTTGCCTTCTTTTTTCCTAAATCTTACTTCTTTTTTTTTTTTTTCTTAATGTAAACTCCAAGAAGTCTGTTGGTGGCAAGCCTGGAATTGCACATACTTTGAGTTGGATTGCTTAATTTCAGAGAGCTAGTTTCCTAGCTTGAATTTTCTCTTTTTCCTCTGAATTAAAATGATTTTTTATACTCGTTTGGGAGGGGAGGAAGTTCAGGGCTTTCGTTTTTGATACTGTGTGCGTTATCTACAGACGCTGGCCCTGTAAGCTGTCTGAGCCTCGGCGAGGCTCTTAAAGCGCTGGCGAGCTTTACCTGCAGCAAAAGCCCCGGAGCAAAGCACGTGCTTGCCTTCCTTTGTGCTGCTGTATTCAGTTCATAAAGGATAAATATGACTCTGTGTTGCATGGATGCTGCACAAGTCCAGAGGTGTTTCTAGAAAACACACCAAAGTAAGGTACCTTTTAGGAGCATTTTAAAAAACATGCAAGTTTTGCATGTTAGAATGTAATGAAACATTCTAAAACAGAATGCCTGTTTCACTTTTTAAATGCCTTTTTATCCTGCAAGCTCTCTGAAGAGCAACAGCCATGCCATAGTTTCGCTTTCAGATTTAGGACTTGCTCTTTCAACATTTTCTCTCACTTWCTGAAACACATTAYACTACATGTGACATTTCAGATGTCTTCARTGACACAAAAGYACAAGTAAATCAGTCTCTGGCAAAAAATCTGAAAGGCTAGGTGGAGATAACATGTTTTTTCCCCAATGCAATAACATCTTGGTCTGACATAAACTGCCAGTGTTTAGACATCTTCAAACATCTGACTGCATGCACAACTGCCGGTAGAATTTGCAATTTCAGGCTGAACCCAACACTTTGATAGTATAAAAAGCAAAAAGCAGTTTTGGTCACCTTGTTTGTTTGTGACTATGGATATGTGCTGTTTGACAAACGCAGTTGTGGTCTCATGAGAACATGCTGTATGTTCTCAGAGCTTGCCCAGTTACCTTCTCAGGAGTCCTGCATGTCCAAGGGCCTGTGAATCACTTGAGTGTTTTTGAGCAATCTTACTGCTAAGATTCGGAGGGAGGAAGGGGTTGCATCGTAAGATTTGCTTATTTTTGTGTATTGTTTTTTATTTTCTGCAATGTTGCTGTCTGTACCCACAGTAGGTGTCTGTGTTCCTTTCCAGATTGGGTATTGCTCTTCACAGCTTTAATCCTTTTTCTTTCTTAAAGAGTAAAAGTTAGAGAGAAATTGGTGAAAGAGGAAAGTGCTCGTGGAAGCCCTGAACTTGTCACAGACACAGTATCTCAGAGAAAATCCCATCCAGTGCCAGCCCACTACATGYCTCCTSTTCAGACAGAAACGTCTGCCTTTGATAGGGTCATAAATCAGCCCGTCAGTTCGGTGCGCCAGCCGATCCATGGCTATATCCAGCCTGCTGGCATTGCTCACWCCGCTCAGCTGATGGCAGCAGAAGACCCAGCAAACACCACCCCTGGCAGCCTCCTAACAAAATCCTCAGCAGCCGCTGCATCGGAGAGTGAAAAGAAAGAAGCAYCCGGTTATGGAGCAAAACCTGATGAAGAATATTCCTTGGAGGGTGAACAGGCTTCCAAAGGCAGAAGACCAATTCTGCCATCTGAGATYCGCAAGCAAGGGAAGAGCCATGAARGCCTCTTTGGAGGAGGAGAATTGGAGACCCCTGTGGGGAGTTCCTCCTTCGCAAGCAAGCCAAAAGTGAACTCGGAAGTGCAGAGGGAGCTGGAAWGCAATAAGAGGCAGGCCCCCGAGCAGCAGTTTAAGGCCCCTGAGAACATAGAAAGGAGTGAAGCTGTTATGTACATACAGAGCGGATCTGTGTTGCAGCCTGACAAGGCAAAGGCTCCCGTTTGGAAAGTGTCAACGACAAAGCATAAGGTCCTGACTCGCTCCATGTCTGACTATACTGTGACTGCTAAGCTAGAACCCTTTAGAAKTAAGGAGAGCATGGAAGCAAATCCACCAAACGGTGAGATTGGCATGGTTGACACAAAAGTCTCTGTTGCCCAGCTCCGTAATGTCTTTCTGGAGACTGCTAATGCCAACAAGAAAGCGGAACTGTAGGTGACATTTCACTCATATTTTCGTGTGAAACTTGCACGTCCTTGGCAAAATTACACCCACTCAACAGCAGTTGTTGTTCGGCACTTAAAGCACACGGCTTAGCTCTCACCAGTGTGTACTGGAGGCTGAGATGGTTTGAATCCYGCTTTTGTGCTTCTGCTTGCTGGTGCAAGTTGTGATGTGGGGTAGCTGGAATGCGTTCGTCTGCGCATGGTACCTGAAGGAGCATGCAGAGTGGTCTCTGGGGAGTTGTTGAGATGCTTACATCTATGCTTTACTTCTCTCTCCTATTTTCTTTCCTATGCGCTCTCTATYGTGCGATTTGAAAGTGAATCTCGGTTTGAGATGGCAACGGCAGGCAGTACTGTGTCTGCCAATGGGGACCGCGAAAGAGGGCCGCGGAAGGCCAGGCGCTATTTTACTCCTGGTGAAAATAGAAAGACTTCTGAGAGATTTAAAACTCAACCTATAACATCAGCAGAACGAAAGGAGACGGATAGGTAGGCACGTACGTAGCTCTGTGTAGCGTTCTGGTACAGGTAGACATGAATGAGCTTGTGAAAAGATTTGTTCATTTATTAGAGGAAAYAYTTTGCAAGGTTATTGTTTCTCTTTRAAAACAWTCGAGTATTYRTTATAGCTTCTTCTAAAATGGAAACCAAAACACCCCTCAATAAAACCAATTTGTTGCAAATTCCTCCAATTTGAACTATTGAACAGTGAATCATCATAAAGTACTGTAGCTGTCTCATTCTAATGTTAAATGCTTTTGGTTTTATATAAAGCGTTTCCTTTCCATCTACTCTGCTTTATCATTTACTCTCTTTGTAAACCACCAAAGCTACCTATTTTATGTTAAAAGAGCTGGCAGCAAATCTTAGACTTTTATTTTCTGCAAGATGAACTAGAAATAATTTTCCTTTACTGTATTTAAGTTTGGCTGCAATTGCTTGCCTTTATGCTTTATTAAAGGATGTTCCCAAGTGGACTCTGCTGAAATTTGAAAAAATAGATGAACTCTCCCGCTTTTAAGACTTTGAGGTCCTGCTACTTCAGATTGAATTTGAATTTCATTTTTGATGTCTTGCTTCCAGCTGACTTGTTTCTGTTTGATAATTTTTCACCAGGTCAATTTTGTGTGCAGAAATACCAACTGCTGACGGTATGTTGCTGTACTGTTTTCTAATGAAGATATGGTATCTAACATGTTGTATTTTGTTTTGACTGAGAAACTGTTTGAAAATGCAAACAAAATCCACCTGAAAATATCTTTACCTATGATGTAGTTGAAGTACCCCTTTGTACGCCTTTTCCTTGGGCCATGTCTACTACAAACTTGATTTCAAACTCATTTAAGTCCAAAAGTCTGTCTGTGAATACCAAACTTCAAATGGGAGTCAAGAGGAGAATTGCTTGAAACTTTTCACTAGAGTTGGGGTTGKTTTTTTTTCTGATTTAGACAATAAATAAGTTAGTTGTTGGGGGGAAAAAGTAATTATTGGTCAGTTTTAATCAGTGGTCTAGGGACTTAYAATTTAAAAAATGCCTTTATATAATCTGAACCTGATGTTGCTCACTTGTTTTCTGGCTGAGGAAGTTGCAACATGTAGGTTATGAATTACAGAATTCAGTCTGCCATCTTGCTTCTCTTTCCCTCTTGTCACCCTTGGCAAGTCTGGCACAAATTAAGTASGTAATCTCATGGGTAGCTATATTTAGATTTAATGCCTTATGCTATTTGAAAGCTGATATTCCTTGCAGCTCTGAGATGCTGGYTCTTGGATCTGGAGGATGCTGATTTCAGCTCCTGAGGATACCAGTTGAGCCTCTGAGAAATGGGGACTCAARGTGGTAATCAGAATGGTCAGCTAGTAGAAAATAGATGTTCAATACYGTTCACTGAGCCTTAAGACAGAATTTCAGTGAAATTATTTTCTTAGTCCATGTGTTATCATAGACTGATGCAATAGGTTTGATTATTCATAGAAGATTGTTTAGATAGCTTGAAAGGACATGAACTGTCCTGAAGACAAGTCTTTTGTTTGCAAATCATGTCAAGAATTTTCATTTGATGTAATACATGTAAAAACAGGTAAAGTTTACACAACTGGGTTCACRATAAGTTTTTTGTTAAATGGGAGAAACAGCCAGCTATTTGCTGGTTTGTAATCATTCATTTAAAAAAAAAAAAAACAACATTGCACTTAATATGAGCTTSATTTATTATGTTCAGCCTCCTTTTTTTTCCCTTTGTGTAGATGAAGAAAAATTGGATGACCGAGCCAAACTAAGCGTAGCTGCAAAGAGACTGCTTTTTAGAGTGAGTATTTCATTTTCTGAATAGGCGGGTGAATTAAATATTTCATATACAAGATACTGAAGAAACCCAGAGTGTGTTAGAATGAAGTATGAAGCAGTTAACCAAGTCCAAGCTTCATAACTTTTTGTTTTTTACTTCATTCCCTACCTACACAARAGACCTGTTGCTCTAAAGCCTCCCTTAAAATGTCATTTAGAGAGGAGTGTGTGGTTGGTTTTAATTCCATGGTGCATAGTGTGCAATTGCATCCTTCTTCTCATTCTGAGATGGGCATTTGGGAACTTCACTGCTCTGCATGCAGAAAGCTAAGAAATTACTGTTTCAGAATTTGCCTTCCATGGTTCTAATTGTGACATATGTCCTCTTAGGAAATGGAAAAATCWTTTGAAATGAAAAATATTCCCAAACCACCTACAAGAAGCTCAGCAGTGGAGAGAAGGCTGCGGCGTTTGCAGGACAGATCTCACACGCAGCCCATTACCAGCGAGGAGGTGGTCATTGCAGCTACGTAAGTCTTGTACATGTGTTGGCTCTGACTCCAACTCCTGCTTTCAAATTTGGGAATAAGTTCCATATCTCTGGTGCTTATAACTCTGTAGTGAGGAAAACATTTATGAGCAAGGGCCCTGAGAACCACAGGGGAAACTRTATTGAAATTCCTTTTGAAATGTAGAGGCGCTAGTAAAGCATAACTTGTATGCACTGTAATTTGGCAGAAAGTTTAGGAACCTGTGGATTAGGTAAACGAGATTAATCATAGCAGCATTGTTTCATAACTCAAATGAAAAAGATAGTTTGCACTGAGGGAAATCTGCACAATTTCATATGGAATGTATATGTAGAGGGGAAAACCTTTTACACTCTGAAATCTCAAAGGTGCTTTTTGGAAATGCTTTTCTTGCACTCTGGTCATATATCATGATRTTTTCCTGAAAAAGGGAAAATCATTTTGGGGGAGAATTAAACAAAGGTGAATGGATGTTCACCTACTTACTTCATGGGTTATGAATAACTTCAAGAAACAGCCTGTTTGCTCCTCTAGGTTTTTTAATTCTTTCAGAGTATTTGTAATTATTTTGCAAACATCACAGCAGATAATTCAGTTAATTAAAATTCATTGCTGTTTGGTTTTTTTCCTGTTTTGTTTTGTTTTGGTCTTTTCTGTAGTTAACACTTAATGTATTGCTTTTCTTAATGCTTTTTTCTTCTCTCTCCCTGTGAATTTTCCCTCCTTGGCAATTCTTTTAAAGTGAAACTGCCCCTGCTTCACGTTCTGTGAATACCCACTCAGTAGTGACAAGAGTACCTAGTCCCACTGTAGTTAAGAGCACTGTACAACCTACCAGGTACTGGGGGGGCAAACATGCATGTTACATGGAGCACAAGATTCCTCAATAGCAGATGCATCTTTAAAGTCTTGAATGCCTTTTCAATGTGTCGAGTCAATACTTGTTTCAAGAATATTTAAAGCATTTGTCAACTTCATTTATGTTTGCATGATAAAGCAATGTCACTTTTTTTTTTTTTTTTTGGTTAAGCATCTGTTTTCAGGACCCTTCTAACCACACTTACCTGTTCTAGAAGCGTATCCTTCTTAAGAAATTAATTTGCACGTGAGCAAACCTAGCAGAAGTCTCTTTGCTCTTGTAATTTTTTTTATATAGTAATGTCATCCTGAGATGAAAATAACAAAGCTGAGTGCCTAATTTCACAAGGAGTACWTGTCCTTTGTCTGTCTCTACATGTATTGTTTTAGCTTGCAAAATKAAAGGAAATATAAGAAATTGCACCACCTATAGGTAAAGTTGCAGAATACTATTTGCTTGTTCTGCATGAGAGAACTTTAGCAGAGACTATGACAGAAAAAAATGTAATTAGAAAATACTACAAATTCCATAAACGTSGAAGAAGTTAAACAACAAAACCTTTTATTGTTAAGGTGAATAAAATACATTATTGTAGAGACAAATGCAGTTACAGCTTTTATGAATGAATATGTCTGCCTTCAGCATTGGTCACACAATCTTTAAAATCAATGGACTATGTTTCAAAACGATTTTTTGTTTGATTTATCCCAACTATTTGTTGGTTTATCCCAAATAAGTCAAAACAAAGGACAGTCTGAATTCTGTTCCTCTTCAGATTATAAGAGGCATTGCAATTTATTCTAACTTAAAAGCAGCACTAACTTGGAGTTTAAGTCTGTTTTTTAAATGTTTTTATCATATATGGTCCACAAATTGCTTTCAATAAAATTGAAATTTATATAAATTGCACTCTAGGGCCTGTGTTTGGTTACAGCAGGCATGTTAAATGTCTCTCCAAAGCTGTGTAGTCTGGATTAAGAGATTGTCTGTAAAATCTCTCTTCAGTCTTGAGTTCCCTTTTAAAAAAAATGTTGTGTCCTAATCAAAGGAATTTGTGAATGAAAATTTAACTTTCTTTTAARTCTTCAGCTATTGAATTAGAATTCCTCATGCCAATGTTGAACCACTGCATACCCACTTAGGCTGCTATATTACATTGGCTATTGTGCTTCACGTGCAGATCTTCTGCTTCTGTCAGGTTGAGATTTTAAAGCTGCACAATGGCTTCTTCGATACTAATTTCCAGTTCTGCCTCTTCAGCTTGCAGGCATCAGCACACCAAAAAATTTTAGCTAAAGAGGAGATAAGAGCAGCCAAAGAGGCGATGGGGCAAGATCAGTCTGATGAACCAGATTCTTCCACCTTAAGCTTGGCAGAAAAGATGGCTTTGTTTAACAAACTGTCTCAGCCAGTGTCCAAGGCCATCTCCACAAGGAATCGGGGAGATCTGAGGCACAGGAGAATGAATGCTCGTTACCAGACTCAGCCAGTCACCCTTGGAGAAGTTGAGCAGGTAAGTGCCATCGTAGCTCTTTCACATTTCTTTTTATCAACGTAAACAGCCTCAGTGTAAGATACCGTAAAGGTTGGCTTTTCCTTTGCTCTGACCTGCACCAGAGGAAAAGGTTTGTCAGGAAGCAGCCTTCTGGTATTGAGGAAAAGCATCCCCTAAAGTGCTCAAAACTTTTGATATGGTTTTCTTCTTTTTTTGAGGTAATTTGAGAGTATATCAACTTCTCCTGCCTAGTGCAAGTTTTACCTTTCGCAGTGTGTGTCATTTCCACTGGGTATTACATGACTTCTAAAAGTAAATTCCTGATCAAAGGGGTAAAAACTATGACATGCATCATTTTGCTTTAGGTGTGTTTTCAGGGAATTTTGGAGCTTCGTCATGTGCAATTTTCACGCTCTTTCCTGAAAGTGAAATATATTTCCATTATTAATGAGGGCGTATTTTGTCATTTTCCTCTGGGAAGAGGCATTAATTTTTATCTGGGTTTTTTTTTTCCCTAAAAGCAGAATACTTTTGAAATTCAGGAAGTCAAAGAGAAATTATTTAATGTGTACAGTGAAATTTGGCTTCCTGTTCTGGAATACTTCATCTAATTGGAACTGCAAAGGAATGCCTTTTAGTGAAGGCTGAGCATAAGGTGGCCCAGGAGTGGGCTTTCAGAGCTGTCCACAATAGCAGAAACAGCAGTCTGTTAGCATTACTGCTTTAAAAGAAATCACTTTAACAGTGAAGCACAACTGCTATGCATGTCATATTTCTAGGAATTTGGATAAATCTGAATGTTAGAAAGTTCTTACCCTTTTCTTTCTGTATGCTTCATTCATGATTATACATTTTCTGTATCATAATTATRGAATAATGTGAAGGCAGGATTTCTCTAAACATCTTGGTGCAAAGCTGTACAGATTACAATTGTAATTTATGCCTATTTCGTTTGCACATGAAGAAGTAATAAATGCTTGGCAGATTTATTTAAGCAAGATTTCCAGACCTTACATAGTCCTTTTTCCATTCACTTTTCACATGCCAATCACTGTCACAGCCTGGCTTCTTTAATGATTGTGTCACTAACTTGTTTGGGGGCCAGGAAGGTGATGAACAGAAAAGGGCTGAAGCAGATGGGGCAGGAAGTGAGAGTCACATTACTTTGTCAGATTTACAGAGCAAACATGCTTTCCAAACAAGGAAAAACAGAGGAAGCATGTTTTGTCATCTCTTTCTGAACCTAGCAAAAGAAATCAGAGTTGACTCCAAAACAAGTTCAATGGGAGCATATTTTCAAACAGGCTTTCTGTAGTGAACTGTTCATTTGTAGTGTTGGGGAGTTTTGAGATGCAGGTATGTTTTTTCTAGGGAAAAGCAAAAGACAACCATCAAAATACATAATTAGAGGTTATACTCCCAAACTGCATATTTGAAAATGTAAATATTTTAAGGCACTCTTCTGATCTCCTCTAAATTTCTAATTCTGATAGATGCAATGGAAAAAAAATAAACTGGTAACTATTTTCTTACTCTTGCTTTGGAATCTTTGAGCTAACATAGTAGACTTTGCTCTGCTTTCCAGTTTGCTTAATGAATGACTGTGTTGTCCATGTTTTATGGAATCTGCATGCGCATTTTAAGTTCTGAGCTGATTTCCTCTTACTGRTGTGATCTTGTCTGTCCTTCTGCACACTGTTCACTAGCTCTGCAGTTTAAGAAAACAACCAAAAAAAAAAACCCTCTCCAAATGTGTATGAGGCATGTTTGTCACTCTCTTTCATAACTTTTCTCTCCTGTGGGGAAGATAAAGCAAAGCTCTGCATTTCAGAAAAAAAAATGCCTCCTAACTGTATCTAGGAAAATTGTACAAAATTATTATGTTAGAAGAGTAGAAAAGATAACTGTTCCCCTGCAGGGGCTGGAAAAACAAATTTGGAAGYATTTTTAATATTCTTCTTAAGTTCAAATAATTTGCTCATGACAGCCAATGTTTATATTTGAGCAAGTCCTGCATGACGGTGATTTATGTAGCAGGAGCATCAGGAATGTCTGTCCTGGGTTAGGACAGCATGGAACAGTCTCTGCCTGGTACTGAGAGGGCGCCAGAGCTGGGAGCTGCAGAACTGTGCAAGAGCAGAGCTGTGCCAGAGCTAATGAGTCCTGCAGAGACGCAGCATTGATCAGCCTGGGCACATGGCATGTCATCCAAAATCTGCAACCTGAACTAATCCCTTCCCCCAGTGCTGCAGCTCCTGGGCCCTGACACGATGTTGTGTTGCATGTTCCACACTCATCCCTTGTTACTAAAGATGTTGCTGTTCACATGCAGTGGTTTTTACCTTGGGTAGAATAACACATCTGCAGACAAATTTTGAGGGCAYTGTTGCTTTCCTTACCTGTTTGTAGTTCATACTGATAGAGTACAATAATTATATGAAAACATACCTTTAAAGAACTGACATTTGGAATTGATAATTTACAAAGAGCTTGGAAGTCCTATTTGGGTTTTTTTGGGCATTGTTTGTTTGGTATTTCTTCTTTCTTCATAGGTACAAAATGAAAGTGGAAGGATTGCTCCCCTGTCAAGCGCGGTCGCAACATCGGTGTCAGCGATGGCCTCAGCCCTCACTCCGCTATTTGGGGACCTTCCTGGGAAACCAGGGACTGATGGAAGTGTGAGTGCAGCCACCAGGTTCCATCCTGCAGCAGAAAACTCGGAGTCGGCAGCGAAACGCACGCAGAAGTCAGAGCAGTGGCAGCCCTCAGTGGAAGCACTAGAAAGCAGAAGAGCATCAAAGAAACATGAAGAAGAAAGAAAGAGGTTTCTAGCACATGAAGCTAATGAACTTAAAAAGTACAGCTCCTTTGAGGAAGAAACCACACATCCTGTTCCTGAAAAAACAGGAGACCACCATAAAGAGACAGCATACAGCTTCCTGAGGAAGGGCAGCGTGGAACTCTTTGGTTCACAAGCACTTTTTCAGCCTCTTGAACAGAAGGAAACCGATACTGGCATGCAAGGTAAATGGGAAGTCAAAAAAGGCCAGTCCTTTGAAGAAAAGATGGATTTGGAGAGTGTTATGAAAAGCAAGACTTGGCAAAGAGGTGTGGTAATTATTTGCTGTTGGTGTAGTCTCGTTCAGCAAATGGTGTTTCAAGCTTTGTCAAGGCTGGTTATGTTTCATTTTTCTAGCACTGCTTAGAAGTAGAGAAATATCTGTGAAKTCTTAAGTTTTACAAATAGAGGGTTTTTATTTTTTATTCYTTCAATTTTTCAGTCTTTAAAGATGGCTCAGTTTTATTCAGATTTATTTAATTGGAAAGAAGTGGTACTGTATGCTGAAGCTAAGATTTATTCTTTCTTTTTTTGCCCTTGCCCTCCAAAATTCTGAACAAACTTAACTAGCTGCCCTGGGTTGAGTATCTGCCCCTAATTTTTCCCTTATTGTGCATRTATAGTTAGGAATAACTTACATATGTGCATGCATAAGTAATAGTGGATAATTTTCACATAATTAATTTTGCAAAACCAATATTACTTTCTCTTTAATGTGGTGAGGAAATACAAACCRAGAAATTTCTCAGAGTAATTATGTTTTTATAAGCACAGCATAATTTAAACTTAAAAAATAAACTTGCCCATCTTTAAATAAAGTACTTCACCAATTAAAAGTGGATTTGGTCATTGCATAAGTCCTTCTATTCTGTTGAATTTAGAAGTATGTTGTATTACTTTCCTCTGTTATTATGATGGGCGGCAGTATCACAGTATCCTGTAGCACTAAAAGCATTTTAGTGTTCATCCTGTGAAGTTAATTTATTTTTAATTTAATGGTCTTCACACAGGCACAGAGAGGAAGGCACAGTTCTGCCTGTATTCCTCCAGAGCAGTATCCATTCTATCCAATTAGCTTTTGATGACTGCAGGGGAGATGGAGACTGGGATTTAATAGGATCAGTCATGTATCAGAGGGGTGTTGTGCTTATACCATTTCAAAAAGAAAAATGAAGATCACTTTTATTTCTTTAAGGACAACTGTAATGGTGCATTTATCTTTCATCAAGGCAGTTTTTCCTGTGTTTAGTTGCTGCTTGAAACAACAAACSCAAAAAAGCCCCCAACATGCTCTTAGAAAACAGTACCTCTATTAAGCTATTAAACATCCTCCTAGTATGCTACTGGAGCATTAAACTGCTTTACCAAATAGTTGATTTCTTGTTTAARTTTTGTCTGCTTCTCTTCCCCTGCTCTTTGTTCCCTCTCACTTTCATCTGTCCATTTTCCTTGTTGTGATGATGGGAGCAGCAGTTTGTGCCTCATCCATGTGAAGTTCAGAATTGTGTCTTGAACGTGATATTTTGTGGCTTCATGTGAACATCAGTCACAAATGGCTACTCCCTGCAGCAAATAATACTGCACAATTAATCTTTGTACTCCAGCTCAGCCAGAAGGTTTTCCCTGTTAGAATTGTATGTGATGTGAATGTTTAAAATACAGATTTGCTTCTTTAGTGTTAGCAATGTGAAGTGTCTTTGAGAATAGAACTAATTCAGCACTTCTCTTTTGAATGGGCAGAGCACGCTGAGCCTTCTTCTGAACTCACCAGCACATCAGCCATGAGGACGGTTTCACAAACTGCAACTGCGGCGTCCTGTAGACTGCAGGAGCTCTCTGAACAATTGGAAGGCAAATTTTATAAGAATTCCTGTGAGATKTATTCCATGGGAGAGAGCAAAGCACAAACAGCTGAGGATGCCCTTGATAATTCCAGCAAAACCATGTCAATTAAGGAAAGGTACTTAAATTTCTCATTCAATTTTTTAATGATCCCGATAAAGACAGTTATTATATTGATGAGGATATTAAAAAAAAGCTTTAAAACTGCTTCTAAAAAAGCTAAGTAGTGGTTATTAGGCTTTATTATTACTAACAGCAGAAACATGCAGCTAATCTGCCTGACATGCTTATGAAGGATATGATGGTGAGTGAGGATTACCATTMAAGAGAACATAATAACCTGATTTTGAAAGAGCCACCTGAATAATCAATGGGTACTTCAGAAAATTAAAGTTATAAAAAGTACATGTTCTAATTACATTTATACTCATATACTCAATATATTTCTCCAGGTTCTGCTTTCAGTTACAACAGCTATAACATGATTTTTGTTTATTTTAGTAACCATTTCTTGTTGGTCTGTGGGAGTCTCTTAGCCAAGATAAATAGAGGGAGTCACAGACTCTCTGATATTGCCCCCTCTACTTCAGAAATMCATGGTTGTCACTTCGACTTCTCAGAACTTACTAGGGGTTTTAAAAGTATTAGGTGTGTAGGGGTACTAGAAATACTTTTTCCAACCCAAGATCATTTTGATCTGCAACAAAATGTTAAGTCGCACACTTGTGCATAGAGTAGGAGTTCAAGGCTAAATCTCCAATAGTAATATCTGTAGTACCTGTAAAGTTTTTTTCTAAGATAGTTAAAGCTTTGAGAGTATAAACTCAGTCCCAAACAGGTAGCAATCCRGTGAAAAGAGCTACAATTATTTGCTTCAGGTTGACAAATAGGCCTGTTTTTACTKCAGTTTTTCTGCAGTGAAAGCAGAAGCAGTAAATGAAAATAGTTGCCTGATTAAACTTTTGCCATGTGAAAGTATTCCCTCACTTGGTGAGGTGGGTGTGGTATTAGGCATTCTGGACCTTTTCTTTTAAACATGATTCCAAAGAGTGTTTCCTAAATTCATGTGTTTCTAGGAGGTATGTGAGTCATTCCCATTCACAGATCACACTCCCTGTCATCCCCTTTACACGAGGAGGTGCAGGGGCAGCTGCAGCAGCTGTGCAGCCTTAGTGCCCCTTCTGAAGGATGTACTTAACCTTTTYCAGTTTGCTATTGTTGTTTTGTTCAGAGCAACTTTCATCCCCCTCCTATAACTATGTTAGTTGTCTCAGCAGATAAGGTTTAAGACCAGTAACTTTTGTTTTATGGGTGGTAAATGATCTACCATATTAATCCTGGTGGGGAGAAGGAGGTTGGAGAGCAGGGAAGATCCAAGCATTAGCAGCTGTTTCAGTCCTAACTTTAATGCCTCTTGAGGCACTGAAGGCTGTCAGTCACACAATCAGGGATCATTTTTGTTAGGACTCCAAAACAGTCTACTCAGTCCCAGAGCTGACCAAAACAAAATACCTGTTCTCTTGTCAAGAATTTGTATACCCTGATTCCACAAACATCTGTAAATGGCTGAGCTGGTATCAAAATRTTTTAGCCTTCCAAAATGCCACAGTAGTCTACTTCTTGTCCCAGAATTAAAAGACTTCAACCAATAAGTTTATTTTGCTTGGCTGTAGTTGATGCCAAGTATTCATAAACATCAAAGAACATTTCTACTAAAGATTAACTATTAAACTTTGATTTTTTTTTTCCTTTTACATTCACTAACTTCATCTTCCCATCCAGTGGATTTTTCTGGCTGTGTCAGACATTCTTTCACCTTATGGCAGAACAACTTTTCCACACATGCAATGGTATTTGAGCAGGATGCATGAATGCTGGTCTGGATGAAAGTGATTTTCCACAAAGACTTGCTTCACTGAGCTAATATTATCCTTGCAGAATGAGGACATTTTTGGAATTACCTATATTATATGGAAGAATGAAAATCATGTTTTTTCAAGGAGGAAAGACACCAATACTCTCTTCTCCTGTCTTTGTGTATTTGTGGAGACCAAAGGCCATCCTGTCAGCTCCRCTGYGGAAGTCAGCATGCCATGATCACCATTCTAAAAARCKACAGATGATTAATCTCTGGTGAACYTCTTACCATAAGTCTCACTTTCTAAGAATCTAGSCTAAACTTAGTTTTCAACCTTTTTTGATGTAAGGATGCTTGAGCAATACTTTCTTATGCAGACTGGTCACCACTGTGTTGAATTTCCGCACTCATTTAGCAGTCAGTTTTGGTTCCGTAGTTATGTATTTCCTATTGSCCTCCAGGATATATGATTTATCTAAAAAGAACTGGTCGAGTGCAGCCAACAGAGTACATGTGAAAATCAAGCCTATGTCCAGTTTATTCTGTCTCAGGGAGAAGACTAGCAACTAAGATACTAAAATATTGCCACAGAAGAAAATGTGTCATTTGGGATATTTTTTGCAAGGATCTTTGCCAAGGCCTTTCATGCAGTTCTCTTTGTTTAGGAAGAACCATTGTTCAGATCTTGTTTCTGTTTSCCTTCAGCATTCACCATCCAACATTTTTCCTTCAGCTCTGAAAGCTTTTGCTTTGAGGCCACCCTGACACCTCTGGGATGAGGATCATTCTGTCTTGATATCACATACTCTTATCTCAGTAGCAGGTGAAAGAAGAATGCAGAGCAAGYTGTCAAAGATGGGCAGACATATTAAAAGCTTTTTACTTTGAAGAAATTGGTAAAACTTGCTTTCTTTAAATTGAAAAAGGAACTTTTGGAGGCAAAAGCAGTKCGACTAAACTGTGAAAGTCAATAATGAATGACTTTCATTATTTGTCAGAAACAGAAAACTAGAGGTGTGCAATGAAACTAGTAAGCAGGCCTTAAATGAATCTGATGGTTAGACCTAATATTTGCCTTATTTTCTGAGACTTTCCAGAGGATCAGTTGCTGTCTATTCTGAGTTAAGCTGCTGAGCTTAACTGGTGGGTTTGCTTTTAGAAAACAATTGGRTAGTTCTTGCATCTTTATTCATTCAGAAGGGTTCCCTCTATTCAATTGTTGCTGAGTCAGGGCAGTCTGGCTTTATTGCCATGTCCATTGTTCGAAAGAAATGCATGGCTTTAGGTTTTACACAGCAGTGAAGTTTTTATTGGCATACAGAGCATACATGTTTCTTTTAAGTGGTGATTTCATTGCTCAAAACAGACAAATGTGTATTCTCACTTGTAGGAATGAGTCGTTTCATTGCACATACCAGTGAAGAATGGAGGGCTGGTATGAATCCATCATTATGGCAGAGAAGAAAGCAAAGTCTCCAGAGACACAAAAGTGTTCTTAGAATTACAGATKTTTCTCTCCCTGATCAAGGAGGCTGTTTGGGTCAAAGGTCTACAGCAAATACCCTGCAGTAATGATAGCTCAAAAAAAAAAAAAAAAAAAATCCAACCAACTTTTTTTTTCCCCTGCCTGCTATGCTGAGCACCTGTAGACATTTTTAAAAACAAACCCAGCTTAGACCAAAGCTGACCAATGTGCCTTGCAGCTTCAATTATCACAGCTCATTTCTAGGCAAAACTGACATGAGAGAACAGAGCTRCTGAAGATAATTCATTGCATGGTGGCAATTCAGTCCCATCTTGATCTCCTCCACAGTTTCACACATGCATGGATGCACTCCAGAAGATTAGTTYTGGGCAGTGAAATCTCATGTCCTTTCTGGAAACAATGACCATGACCTCAGCTCCTYATTGTGAGTCCTTCTCACCCCTACTCACCCCGTGCTGTGAGGTATGAAGCAGCCAGGCAATGTGAAGCCTRCCAGCACTGCCTGCCTGGGCAGGGAGAGAGGAAATAATTGCTTTCTTGGATACTAACGTTCTTACTGCCATTGTATTCTGTGGATTTGCTGTTTTCTGCATTCTTAGTTTTCTCAAATTACTTCCTTAAGCCCAGCTGATCCCCAAATAGATCAGTAGCTTGGTGGTACCCCTTGGATTTTTGCAGGAAGCAGCTGCCTGAAACTTGGTTTATGACTAGAGCTCTTTGGTTCTACCCTTCTCCTCAGTTTCCAGACAAGATTTGCTATGAGGATAACACTAATTGCATCTCTAAAAAAAGAATTGCCATATCTTGTGGTCAGAATAGGTTTAACTACTGAACCTGTTTAGAATTATTATATTAATAGGGGTAAGGGTTTTGTTTAATTCTTCCTGAAATGCCCTAGATTAAAAAATCTAAAAAATCTAAAAAATTTACTAATTAAAAAATTAGTAAAACCTAATTCAACTAAAAGTTACTTAGTGGACTGATGCAACTGTTAGCACAAGTGCTGCAGATACACATTTTATGAATTACTAAGAATGATTTCTGAAAGGTAGAAAATTCATACAAATGGTAATTTCTGAGGAAGATAAACTGAAGATCATAATTCCTTTGTAGACTTCGTATTCCTGACTGACTTCCCTTATCCCCGAAACTAGTCACCTCAGGGTTTGTATGGATAAATATAATTCTAGGAAAATAAATCTCCATGTTGTCCCCACTACAGCCAGTCAGTGTCCCTTTGTGCTTTATTCACATTTGTGCTCAAGGTTAGGAAAAAGCAGTGCTTGGAGAAGATTGCTTTGCCCACTTACTGAGATTAATGGTAATCCACATTATAAATATAAGACCTCCTTCAAACGATTTGAATCTTGCTGATAGATTTCACAGCTGTAGGGTAGTTAGCACCRAGTTCTTAGTGTGCTGCTGATTTGTGTCACAGCAATACCTGAGCTCAGCAAGGACATACTGAGTGATCTCAGGGAGTCTGATAAGGAACCTCAGTCCCTGGAGCTGTAGTGAAAGMAGTGACTTCAGAGGGGTCCTTTGATGTGCCTGATGAGACCTAATTGGAGTGTGCCTGCTGAACAGATCTCTTTCTTTCCTGGGCTTTAAAAAAAATTATTTTGAAAGTATTTTTTTAATGAGTGCAATGAAGACCAAAGGTAGGATATACAGATTCTTAATTTTGGACATCTGCAGGATAAGTATCCATAGCCAAGCTAGTCATTCACTGTGCCTTGGTGACAGAATGGAGGCAAAAAGCAGTTACTGATCTAACCTTTTTATGCATCTACTTTAGGACACTCTGCRTTGTACCAGGGTCTCCCTTGGCTGTACTGGTAGTTGCACCGAATATAGAAATTAACTGGAGTGTCTGTCTCAGGTCTAGATGTCTGTGTTTTGACAGATGGTTCCCATTCAACATGCACAGTTAAGGCTTGGTGTTCATTTGTGARCCTTGTATATGTGTATGAAATGTTMGTTAATGCTAGAAAACCTAATTCCAAATTACCTTGGATGCAGCATTAGTGAAACAATAAGGTTTTCTTTYGAGGATAATGGGAAGTACAATGTTTGAAGTTACCTCTTGACATGCTTTTCCCTCTAGGTTGGCATTGCTGAAGAAGAGTGGTGAAGAAGATTGGAAGAGCAGGCTCAGCAAAAAGCAGGAGTATGCAAAAGTGCCCGTCGCTGATCGCAGTGCGCAGGTGCAAGAAGTTGAGCAGCTGTTGAAGAAGGTAACTCTGCCCCTGTTTGGGAAAAACATCTTGCTTGAAATGCTTTTGCTTTTTTGAAGATGCATCCAGCTAGGCAGGCATGCCTTATACTAGCTGCCAGCTCCTGCTGCTCCTCTTGTTGTCAGGCCTGTTTAAAAAACAATTCTTCCAATGTGAGAGATTATTTAACAGGGATGTCTTCACTATCTTGGGACCTATAATATGGTTGYAGTATTCACAGAGTATTCACATAGGAGATCACGAACTAGTAGTGGGTCTGTAAGGCCTCTGCAGCATGTACAGGTATAATGATTAAGCCCTTTCTCCCACCTCTCTTCTCTCTCCCCACCTTCCATGCCCCCACACTGAAATTGCCTTTAGACTTAGCTCAGATGTTTTCTTATGTATGGGTGAGTTTGTAACAATGTCACATTCCTAACACTGTGTTATCTCTGTGCATACACTAGGGTTTTGACAGTAATTTTGGATCCTGAGAGATGCAGATATTAGAGCATTCATCAGCCATTTGGCTTTTGGTTATCGTGCATGATCTTTGCTGTTTGTGAATAGCCAAAATCGTCAGACCAAGATTTTATCTGTCTTATAATGGTGAATAGAGAGAGAGAGTAGAGGGTGTAGATACAGAAAGGGATAGAGGAAAGGGAGATCTGCATTTTTAGCACCCTCTGGTTATGTCTATATATGAGTACCTTATGTTGCTCTGCAGAATTGGGTCTGTAAATCGGAATGGTTACTGCTGAGGACCTGCTTATCACATAAAACTTATTTTGGTTCAATGAAATTTTGCTTCAGGCTGTATTAAGCTTGGTCCTGCGGCCTGATTGCCTTGAGCAGCAGCRGTGCTGCATGGGAATCTTGGAGTGCACTTCAGGGCTCTGTTTCATCCCAAAGTCTGTGCATTCTGCTGTGTGAACCAAAGTGCAGAAAGTGAGGATGACTGGGAGATTTGCTTTGAAAAGTACAGGACCAGGGTAGATTTGTTTCCCTTCTCAGTCAGGTAAAACAGGCTGTCTCAAAAACCTTTAATTTCTGGAGTACTTCACTGAGGACAAGTGGAAATAAAATTTGTGTTACAAATTCTACTAATGGGGATGTTAATCTTTGGATCCAATTATTTGGTTTTGAAAATGCTGCTTCTATTAAATAGTGTAAGCAAACAGTAACAAAAAGTCTCCTGTTCCATCAGTATGTTACAAGTAAGGATACAGTCTGTCATTGCTGAGGTTAAATCTGTGCCTGAACATGTGAGTCATCAATCGTTGTGTTAACTGGACAGAAAAGAATAAAACTGATTTTTGCAGTTTGGTTTATGAGGTTTGTTTTAGTTTTGCCCTGTGGATTTGCTCAAAAATCCAGCTGCTAGTTTGAAAGACGTCCTAATGCAAAAATAGTTTCAGGGAGGAAAGCAAGATTGTGGTCACATTTTTAGCAGGCTAGTCTCCAAAATGACAACTGTTAAGATCAGATAACAAATGTACTCCAGCTAAAGACAATGGGGTTGAGAAAAAGCTTTAAAAAGCTGCCAAGACTTAGGCAGAAACAAACCCTTTGTTCTCTCTTCTCACCCCTCAGCACCCATATCCTCCCTGCTGCGTTGCCATGTGCAGCAGTTTCTCTCAGCACTGCAGAGTCAGGCTTTTAAAGCGAATAAGGGAGCATAAAGTGCTTGAAGGATAAAAGCTTTGAAGTGACAGTGCTGGCAGTGGGAGTTTCTGTGACACTGGGTCACCCATTCTGATAGTTCATATTATATCTTGGCTATTTTCAGCCTAAGTCAAAGGATTTGCATGTCTGCCCATGGATGAGATCTTGGGTAAGATAAATGTGACTCCATGAACTACACTGATATTTGGGATGCTGATTCATTATGTGATACATGAGAAATAATGCAAACCTTTACTAAGGTGACCATACTATTTACCAAACACCATGGCAGCTGCCCTTAAATCTAGAAATATTGGTTTTGATAATTAATCAGTGCAATGGCTGTTATCCTTTGAGGACCATGAAGCACTGTGCTATTGAAATCTGCTTTTAAAACTTTGAGACGATGGTGCACTTGAGAATCTTAGAGTTGTCTGTTGCTGGATTGCAGCAAAAATGCAGGAATTGTATTGATTACTGCATTTTGAGCTAGTTAGACAATTTCCTCACATGGCAGTCATGCATCACCATCAAAGGTGYGTAAACTTCTGTCATGCCCTGCTGGTTCAAAGTAATGCCTGAAGTTTTTCAGTTGCAGTATGGGGCTCCTATTAATGTAGTGTGTGTATGTCTCTTTCTTAAAAGGTTATCTAACTTGTCCTGGAGATTTGATTATTGAGGCATAGCTGTATAAATTAAAAGTTATTGGAGTGCATTTAGATTTCATATAAACAAAAAAAAGCTGAAAGATTCATGCACTTGAAAAAATAGCCGCATTAAATAGTGCTGTTTGATCACTTCTAGTCAAAATGCTTCTGTATCGTGGCTGCATGGTGAGGTATTTTATCCAAATGTGTTCTATTCAATTTTGTAGACTAAACTGTAGAAAAACATCATAAAATTCATGGAAAAGCTGACAGAGCAACCTCAAACAGGAAAAAAAAAAGGATTGAGGAATTAACTCAAGGAGATASAGATGAAGGGGGAAGTTGAGATTTACTTGGAGGTCCAGCATCTGTTTTGATGATTGCTGCACACAGGAGGAAAATTTTTTGGAAGCTGTCAGACTTCTTAAATTATTTATATATATGGAAAAACATACTTGAACAATTCAAAGAATAGCTCTAACATCAGGGGAACAACTGTGCACTGATGAATGTCATACTGGAAAAAAAGATCCTTTTTATTTGGGAAAAATATTTTGGACTTAGTGTCTTTGTTTTCATCATCTTAGGCTGGATAGAAGACTTCCATTTTGTTGGATTTCTTCATGGGTAGAAAAACTAATTAACTTCAAAAACTTTCCTTAATATCAAAATAGGAAGATKTAGTGGAATAAAAATTTCTGGTTTGTAGTAAACCATTTTTAACAAGTCCCTGATTAATATGATTACCACTGCATTGCAGTTGCATTTAAGTAGTGACTGACATTTGAAACACTAAATTCTTACATCAAGTTTAAATTGCTGCTCAGCTCAGGTGTTAAACGCTACGGTTGAACGGACATTTCARAATTACTCAAAGGTGAACTGTGCAAAAATCTTAGAGAGGGTAAGCCCTTGAAAAGTKACTTTTAGGCAAAGTATTAGTCATTTGCTGTGGTAATAGTTTTATTCATTTCATATACGACATCCACCAAGTGCTTGTATCACATTCTCATCAACACTGTAGCTAATTATTAGGGTTCATTTCAAGCCACTCTAATAAGCTGCATTTATCCGTCCTCTGTGCCATGTTCCACATTTGCTTTGACCTACAGAAAGGGAGAGGAATTAAAGATGATCRAGCCATGTCTAATCAGCTTTGGGTAAGCCCAGCTCTGGGGCAGGGTTTATTTGTAGGCTGTGTTTGGAGTGGTGAGCTCACCTTCGCTGAGTGCTCTGGGCTTAGCAAATCCCTCCAGATGGTTTTTGAGTCTCCCAGTKTCAGCAAGCATTYTTTTATTTCATCCAGAAAACAGATCACTTGCTGTTTAGCAGGGTTTGATTAAACTTGCAGCAAAATTATTCACATTGTGGTTGACATGGTTCATCAATTTAATGGTGCATGAAAACAGAGACATATAAAAATTATCAGCATATGAAAAGTATATCTTCCAGCTGCGCTGTTTTGTTCTGTGTTGGGTTGTAGTGATATGGTTACTAACTTGGATAATTCCTGCATGGAATGGCTTTGGTAAACATGCTATTGTATTATGACAACATTTTTGATCTCTGCTTTCCAATGGGGAAAACATTTCTAGMAGATCAAAATATTTAGTAAGAAATAAGGGAAAGAGGAGTCATTTCTCCCTCATTTCTATTTCTGGTAGTCCAGTTCTTTTCTAATTCGTTTGCTTTGCTTCTGTCCTTGTCATAGGAACCTGTATATGCTTCCACTTACTCTCCTGTTATACCCGCTCTCCATAAATTTCATCCTTTTCTACCTATTAATCAGGTGAGCAAAAGTCTGTACAATTTAAATGCTCAGCAATTTCAAGTAAACACATTTTAACAGTGTTTTTTTACATAGGAAATTAACAATCCTCTTAACTGATTAACCAAGTTAATAAACGTATGTTTAAAGAAACATAATATGTYCCTATGCTATGTACTCTTCTCCAATGTACATTCTGCTACTGTTTCTCGTAAGGTTGCTTTTCTAAAAATTCTCTGTTTTAGACTGTGTAGGTGAGAAAGTAAACGAAAGAAACAGTATTGCATTCATTATARAACTGAAAACTTGTAAATTGTTAGAAGGGGTATATAAAAGGAGTAGTATGTAACTACACAGCATTTATTTTAGAATAAACTGCTGTGCACCCTGACCTCCCTGTAAGTAATGTGCATGTACCATGTAAAATATAACACAATCTGATTTATTTCCTGTAAAAAAAACAAGCTGCTTTTGTGCAGAGGTGACTTTCCCATAGTGCGTTTCCCTAGTCCCTGTGTAAAGGATTTTTGCTTTAGCATGTCCTGCTTCTGTTCTCTGACTGTCCCATCTTCCTGCTTCTCTCTCTTTCTTCCTTTAAGGTCTGTAGTACTAGTTTGAAAGAATCAAGCTCTCTGATTTCTGATGAACGTCATCCTTGGAGATGGAAGGTGAAATGCTRTATAAAATTCCTATTTAATTTTTGGAGGGAGGAGTGAGACAGATAATTATGCTCACATTGAAGATACACATGCCCAAAGCAACTTGTGGCAGTAGAGTTAAYTTKGTGTTTGCTTGGCAATAGAGTCCTGCTGGTGCTCCAATAAATGTTAGAGAAACTTCATGTGAAGTTCCTCAAAATCATGTCTGTACCTCTGCAATTCCATCATAGACAATTTAAAGAATTTAGGAAGAATTAATAGATAATGAGAAATATAAACTTT